CTAAGAAGGAAAGGAGCTTGGCCCTCAAAATCACTGAAGATTCTAATATAGAAGATGATGAAATGGCTATGATTACAAAAGGCTTCAAGAAGTACCTGAGGAGAAGAACGGGTTCTTCAAGAAGTGGAAGCTACAGCAAGTCAAAAGCTCCTAAGAAGCAAACTAATGATGGTTGATACAAGTGTAGAAAGAATGATCACCATATCAAGAATTGTCATTTGTGGAAAATTGAATGGAAGAAGGAAAGAGCCGAATGAAGGAACAGGAAGANTCCTTTAATTGGAAAAAACTCCTTGTACCCTCGCGGGGGCGGAAAAAGGAGGTGTGACAGAAGGAACAGGTTCAACCCAAGAAAAGCACCAACAAGGGATCAACCATGGCTATGGTCGCTGCTTGGGGAGAAAGCTCAGATGATGATGATGATGATGATGATAATGATGATGATGATGATGAACGAGCACTTATGGCCATTGGAGAATCTGATGAAGAAACTGAGGTAAGTGTCCTTCATCTTAAAGACAAAATTAATTTTTTGTCTAAAGAAAGGTTGTCTGAGCTGATACTAGAGCTAATTGATGAATCTGATGATGTAAATAATAAAAAGGAACATCTGTCAAAAGAATGTGTGGTTTTAAAAGATACGTGCAAAAATCTGGAATTTAGGACTAGTGAAACTGAAAGTGAAAATGATGTGTTGAAAAATTAGGTTCATGAACTTGGCACAACTGTCCTAGAACTTAGATCTGAAAATCTAAAACTAAAATTAGGAACAGGTAAAAAGACAGCTGATCACACACAACTCACTCTAGAAGAAAATATAGGAAAAATGAAGTATGAGTTACACAAAAGAGATGTAAGAATCCTAGAGGAGGATCTAAGCAAGGTCAAGCATGAGCTAGACAGAACTTGTAAATGGAATAGATCCTCCGATGCACTTTCATGGCTACAAGAACACCATAGTAGCAATAAAAGAGGACTTGGTTTTGGGAGCCCTTCGCCTAAGTGGGATCCCAAAAGCAAGTACCTCACACTTTCTGAGAACAAGATTTGCACACACTGTGATAACACTGGTCACTATAAGGCAAGTCAAAGAAAATGCAAGTCAAACAAACAAAGAATTTGTTCAAGGGAAGAATAGGCTGCCTAGTTGGGCTAAAAAGAATTTGATTCATCTTTTGCTTATAGAAAAGGACCCAAACTAGTTTGGGTTCCTAAGACTAACCCCTGATTTCCTTTTGCAGGTCCAAGTGAAGGGGAGCAGCCAAATATGGTACATGGATAGTGGTTGCTCAAAGCATATGACAGAAAGCAAGAACCAATTCCTTTCACTTGAGGACCTTAAAGGAGGTAATGTCTCCTTTAGAAATGGGAAGAAAGGTGATATAATTGGGGTTGGAAAGGTAGGTAAGACCGATTCTCACTCTATTAAGAATGTCTACTTGATAGATGGACTGAAGTACAGTCTGATAAGTATATCACAATTGTGTGATAGAGGTAATATGGTAGCATTCACCTCTATAAAATGCTTTGTGATTAATCATACCACTGACAAGATAGTTTTGCAGGAAAAAAGAGTGAACAACATATATATTGTGGATTTGTCCACACTTTCAAATAATAAATTCACTTTCTTAAGTGTGTGGGATAATGATACCCTCATTTGGCACAAAAGACTTGGACATGCAGTCTAAGCCAACTCAACAAACTAGTCTCCAAGGACTGCCTAACATTAAGTTCAAGGAAGATAAAGTTTGTGAGGCCTATGCAAGGGGGAAGCAGGTAAGATCCTCTTTCAAAAGCAAGAAAATGGTAAGCACCACCAGGACGATAGAACTGGTCCATATGGATCTTTGTGGGCCATTGAGGACATTGAGCAGAGACTGTAACAGATATGTTATAGTGCTTGTTGATAATTATTCTAGGTTTACTTGGACACTACTTTTAACATCTAAAGATGAAGCATTTGGCATGTTCACTTCTTTTGTTAAAAAAACTTAGAAACAACTAGGTAATCAACTTGCATCAATTAGGTCTGATCATAATATTGAATTTAAGAATGCTAAATTTGCTGAATTCTGTGATGAGCATGGCACTCATAATTTTTCTACTCCTAGGACTCCACAATAAAATGGAGTAGTTGAGAAAGAATAGGACATTAGAAGAAATGGCTAGGACTATGCTTCTTTCTAGTAAACTGCCCCATAGCTTCTGGGCAGAAGCTGTGAACATTGCATGCTACATCATAAATAGGTGTTTGACTATGCCTCTTTTTGTGAAGACTCCCTATGAGTTACTTAATGGGAGAAAGCCAAATATATCCATCTTAGGGCATTTGGATGCAAGTGCTTTATGCATAATAATGGTAAAGACTTCTTAGGTAAGTTTGATCCCAGAAGTGATGAGGGAGTATTCTTGGGATATTCTTCACATAGTAAAGCTTATAAAATTTATAACAAAAGAACTTGTGTGTAGAAGAAAGTGTACATATGGTTTTTGATAAAACTAACGTTCTCTCTGAGAGGTAGGAACATGATGATAAAGTAATTGGACCGGTAAGAAACTCAAATGAAACCACAGCCCAGACTGAAGTTGTACCAGAGTAAGGAACATGTGATGGAACATGTCCTTCCACCCAGGGCAACCTGACGGGGGGAATTGAACAAAGAGGAACTGATCCCCAAACCTCGAGGGAACCAGTCCATGAACCTGTTCCTCAGCAACAAAACATTGATGGAACATCTAGGGAAAACTAGTTGGTTGTGAAACCTTACAAGTATCAAAGTTCTCATCCCATTGAGAACATAATAACTGATCCAACCTCTAGAGTCAAAATCAGATCTTCTTTAAAGAATCCTTGTGTTTTTTATGCTTTCTTATCTCTTATTGAACCTAAAAATGTTGTTGAAGCTTTGCAGGAAGTAGACTGGGTAAATGCAATGCAAGATGAACTCAACTAATTTGAGAGAAGTCAAGTTTGGCATATGGATCCAAGACCCAAGGAAAAATCAGTAATTGGCATAAAATGGGTCTTCAGAAACAAACTTGATGAAGATGGAACAGTTACAAGGAACAAGGCAAGATTGGTGGTTCAAGTATATAGTCAAGAGGAAATTTACTCTCGATCATATGGATGTCAAGAGTGTTTTCCTCAATGGATATCTAAATGAAGAAGTGTTTGTCAAGCAACCTCCGGGCTTTAGAAGCAAGGAATGTCCTGATCATGTGTACAAACTTGACAAGGCACTTTATGGGCTCAAGCAGGCTCCACGAGCATGGTATGAATATTGTCAAAATTCTTACTTAAGCATGACTACAAGAGAGGTAAAATTGGCAATACCTTGTTCTTGAAAGAAAATGGTAAAGATCTCTTGATAGTTCAGATATATGTTGGTGATATAATCTTTGGAGCAACTAGTGATAAGTTAAGTAGAGAATTTGCTAAACTAATAGGGAGTGAATTTGAAATGAGCATGATGGGTGAGCTTAATTTCTTTTTAGGCTTACAAATTAAATAAAATTCAAATGGAACTATGATCCATCAACAAAATTATGTGAAAGAGTTGCTTAAAAAGTTTAAAATGGAAGACTTCAAAGAAATTGACACACCTATAGCAACAGCCAAAAATTGGATATAGATGAACCTGGTTCGTTTGTTGATCAAAAGTTGTATAAGGAATGATCGACTCTTTGTTATATCTCACTGCTAGTAGACCTGACATTATTTTCAATGTAGGCCTTTGTGCTAGATTTCAGAAAAATCCAAAGGAACCTCACTTGACTGTTGTCAAGTGGATCTTGAGATACCTAAAAGGCATCACTGACCTCTATTTATGGTATCCAAAAGGTAGTAATTTCAACTTAGTGGGATATGGTGATGCTGATTGTGCGGGTTTTCTTGTGGATAGAAAGAGCACCTCAGGTATAACACACTATCTTGGCTCATTTCTTGTGTCTTGGGCAACCAAAGAGCAAAATTCTGTGGCCTTGTCTACTACTGAAGCTGAGAATGTTGTCGTTGCCTCATGTTGTAGATCAAATATCAATTAATGGACTTTGGAACTGATGTAGGTTGTATCCCCATCTTTTGTAATAACACTAGTATAATTAGTATGACCAAGAACCCGGTTCATCACAAAAGAACTAAGCACATATATAATAGGTATCATTTTTTGAGGGACAACTGTGAAAAGGGTTTGATCACTGTGCTGACAAGCAAATAACTGACATCTTCATAAAAGCTCTAAGTAGAGATCACTTTAAAAGGAACAGGTTAGAATTAGGGATGATTAAGATCACCTAAAAGGAACCAGTTCTAACTTAAAAATGGTTAGAAAATCTGTGAATTTTGTACATAATTAGATTAGATTTTGTTCAGTCTCATACCTTTACCAATATACTCTTGTGCCATGTGCTAAAATGTTTCATTAATCTCTAATGAAATTATCTTTATTTTCTTGGAAAATTCAGACTTACATAAGAGATTACTCAGTGAAGAACCTGGTTCATCAAAATTACATGGTACGTACTCTCCACTCAGCATAGTTTGAAACAATTATATTTGAATTATGATCAAAAGAAGAGTCCCATTTTATCCTAATCTCCTTGTTCTTATCCATTATGAAATGAACCAGTTTCAACTAAAGAGAGTCCCAAAACAAAATAAGTGCCTAGGTTCTAGAGAGAGTCCTTAACGTCTTTTCAAACTGACTCCCAGTTGGATTAGACTTCTGAGCTTTGAAAAAGATGTCGGTACCCAATTAAATTCACCCTCTTTATATTGATTTGGCCTTAGTTGTTTCTTCAATTCTAAAGTTACAACCACCAAACAATTCTCTTTATCTTCTCTCATCTTCTAAACACACACATACTTTTCTTCTCTCATCCTCTAACTATCAATAGCTAACATCTCTGAAAATCTCTGATCACAATCCAAAGAATCCGCACCCACTCTTTTAACCACACCCTCAACCACACATATCTCTAAGAAAGGAGGATTCAATATGCTTGCTCGCAAAGTAATCGCTGGAGGACAACAAATCAAGAAAATCAATGAGCACCTGAGGGCAAGTAAGGCAGATGAACCCCAAAAATCTGAAGATTCCTTCAAGTATGCAACTGAGGGGGAAGAAACTGTTTCATCTGAAACAGAGGAGGTAACGTCTGGTCCAAAAATTACATCTAAGACAATCTCTGAGGTTGCTGAAAATCTGGAAAATAGGTTTGTTTTCGTAGGAACTATGGCTGGAGTTGAAACAACTGAGTCTAGGAAAATGGGTGGTAAAAAAAATAAATAGAGTGAGGGTGCTCAAGGTGATGTGAGGTGAATAGAAAATGGAGTGGCTGAATCTTCACCCACTTCTGTTGGTTTGACTCAAGAAACATGAGCTACGATAGTGTGGAGTGAGGAATCTGCTGGAGAAGAAGAAAGTTTGAGAGAAAAGGGGGGTAGTAGGTCTGGAGAAGCCACTGAGAGGTCGGTTGGGTTGGGGAAGAATGTTCAAGAACCTATTCCATCTGTGGAGGAAACCCTCGAAGACCAATTGAAAAGAGTGTCTAACAGTTACAATCCAAAAAGGAAGAAGAGTTCAGGAGTTAAAATTTCTAGTACTGCTAGGGCAAACAAGAAGAGAAAGTCTTCCTCATCTATCCCTATAGTGAATCCTTCTAAAAGAGGGAGAGCTACAAGGAGTTAGAAGAAGCAGAGTGAGGCTGAACTGGAAAAAATCCCTAGAAGAGAGTAAAAGAAAAGTTGTTGTAAAGAGAAAAAAGAAAGTAGTTAAGCTTGTTGAGGCAGTTGAAATTGAGGAGACGGACTTGGTCCTTTATGATGAAGAGGTGGCAGAAGAGGTGGAGGTTGTGACTCCAAAGGCAAAGAAAATTAAGACTTCCAAAACGAAATCTCATTCGAAGACAAAGTCTGCAGAGCCTTCTACCTTGGCTAAAAGAACCAGGTCCGCCATGAAATCTAAGAAAGTGAAAATAGTGGAGGAAGAAGAAAGTGAAGATGAAGAAGAAACTGATCAAGAATAGGACAAGATGACTAAGTTTGGGAAAAGAACCATCTTGAAGGGTAGACTCTTTAGGGACTTGGAGGAGGAAGGCATAGTGATGCTACTGGAAAAACTACAACTGCAAGGTTGGAAGGCCATGGTCCTTCAAATGAATGGAAAGCTTTCCAGAACTGATATTGTGGAGTTCATAGAAAATAGTAAGATCAAAAATGGCAGAGTAACCAGTGTAGTGAAGGGGGTGACAATGAGCTTCGATGAAGAGGAATTGGGAGAGATTCTAAGTGTACATGTTGAAAGGCACAATAATTACAAGAAGCTTAAATGGCCAAGTCTAGAGAATCTTCCTACCTCCCTTTCCATTACAAGAAAGTTTGCTGACAATGAGTTAGAGCTAGAGGCCGAGGCTGCATACAAAAGTGAGATAAAGCCACCCCACAAAGTGTTGTTTGAATTTGTTAACAAAGTCGTATTGCCCAGGCAAGAAAGAAGGCATATTGCCACCTTCATGAATCTGGTCCTTATGGAATGTCTGGACATTGTGAGGCAAATTAATTGGCCTGGGTTTATCATCCAGCTTCTTGATAGGGTACTAACTGGCACCAAAACTCATGTCATACCCTATAGTTTCATTCTCACGACTGTACTTGTTCACTTCAAGGTACACCTCAAGAAATGGGATGTTGGTACACACAAGGATCACTTTGGGACAAACACTTTGACTACATATGACTATGAAGTCCAAACCACTCCCAAATAACTTGGTTCATCCAAAAAGGTATATGTGAATAGCAAAGTACGAGCCTTGGTGCAAGAGAGTAAGGCTAAGGATGTTGAAATTGAAAGGCCGAAGAAGAGGTTGGCGGAAGTAGAAACTGAGAGAGATGCTCTCGGGGCTGAGCTTGCAAAGGAGAAGGAGAATAATGAAGGCATTCTTCATGATATGTTGAAACTGCTTCAAGCCAAGAATCAAGAACCTAGTCCTTCCCAGCCTTAAGACCTTCCTAGCCTAGTTAGACAAACCAGAGACCCGAATGAGATTCTTTTTGTTCTTTTTGCTCATGATCCAGTATATTTATTTTTCTTTATGCTTTGTGGATGACTAGTATCAATGATACTCAACTGTTTTTGTGCTCTAACTGTTTGTTGATGCTTCTTAGATGGCTAATATCGTTAGATCGATAAATGATGCTTGACTCCATGATTTCATTTGAAGTAGCCCCAGCGGCCATACGTGATATCTATTAATATCTGGTTATCTAACATAATTATGCAACTTTTCGATGATGCCAAAAGGGGAAAAACAGGTTGTGCTTTTTACTTTAGAGTGTGATGTTTATAACCTAATGAACCTGGACCTTGATGATTTGTGACTTTAAAATGGAAAGTGTTCTAACATTGTGTCGTTGTTGAGCTGAGTTGAAATAGGTCATATGCTTATGAAAAGTACATAGTTTGTCATCATCAAAAGGGAGAATTTTTTGGCCCAAGTGAAATTTATTTTGATGATTGACAAAGGACTCAAACATGAACCAGGTACATACACAGTGTACACAGATATGGGCAGATTCGAGCACAAGGCATGCAAGTGAAGGAGATAAGCTTAAGTGGTTATATCTGATATCTCCTGAACGAAAAGGTTGCATAAGTGATAAGGAGAAGGACTCCTTACTCGAAGGGAATTCTATCCTAGATAAGGGAAAAGTTAGAAGTTGAAGATAACTAGAACTATTCCACCAAATAAGAGTACATCATTGGAACTCTAGTTATTTCCTATTCTACTAACTCTATAAATTTTAGGATGTTCTCATTTTACATGTATGCATAAATGCTGAAGTTAAAAGTGAGTTGAGCGCAAAATAGCAGGGTATTTTGCAAGCAATTCGTGTGTGATTCAAGTGTGCAAACTTGAAGCTACATGAACCAGATAGAAGAACCAGTTCCAAGTGTCCGTCTTTTATTCTAGTTTCATTGTAATAGGACCATTGAGTTGTACCTTTTAGCTTTATCTAGAAGTAATTGTATTAGGTACTCTGAGTGTTGTATTCAAGTTAGAGTTAACTTGAAGTTGTCCCAAAATATATTAGATATCCTCCAAATTAGGTTAAAATTGCTTTTATACACGTT